GGGACACCTCAGTTTCCCTTCCCAGACACTTCCTGTGCCCTCCTGGCCACCAGCTCCGTGTTCTGGGCCACCCAAGGAGTGCTCTGGGTCATCTTTGTCCCTGGGGCCACCATCTCTGCCAGGTGTCCCACAGGTGTGACAGAAAAGGCTGGGCTGTGGTGGCCTCACCTGGCAGGTGAGTTTGATCCACCCAGGTGGTGACACCTGGTGCCTGAGCTCCATGACCCACCTCAAGGGTCTCACCTGGTGGTTGAGTCTCACCTGGTACCTGATCTCCGTGACCTATCCAGGTGTTCTCACCTGAGCCTCACCTGGTAGCTGAGCTCCTTGGTTCACTCCCATGGTCCCACCCCCATGTTCTCACCTCCACGTTCTCACCTGTACCTGCTCCCCACCTGGTAGCTGAGCTCTTTGACCCATCTCCACGTCCTTACCTCCATGTTCTCACCTTCATGTTCTCACCTGTACCTGGTCCTCACCTGGTAGCTGAGCTCCCTGACCCATCCCCATGTTCTCACCTGTACCTGCTCCTCACCTGTGCCTGGTTCTCACCTGTACCTGCTCCTCACCTGTGCCTGTTCCTCACCTGGTAGCTGAGCTCCTTGACCCATCCCCACGTTCTCACCTGTACCTGCTCCTCACCTGTACCTGGTTCTCACCTGTGCCTGGTTCTCACCTGTGCCTGGTTCTCACCTGTACCTGCTCCTCACCTGTACCTGGTTCTCACCTGCACCTGGTTCTCACCTGCACCTGGTTCTCACCTGTGCCTGGTTCTCACCTGGTAGCTGAGCTCCCTGACCCATCCCCACATTCTCACCTGTACCTGCTCCTCACCTGTGCCTGGTTCTCACCTGTACCTGGTTCTCACCTGTACCTGGTTCTCACCTGTGCCTGGTTCTCACCTGTACCTGCTCCTCACCTGTACCTGCTCCTCACCTGTGCCTGGTTCTCACCTGTGCCTGGTTCTCACCTGGTAGCTGAGCTCCCTGACCCATCCCCACATTCTCACCTGTACCTGCTCCTCACCTGTACCTGCTCCTCACCTGTGCCTGTTCCTCACCTGGTAGCTGAGCTCCTTGACCCATCCCCACGTTCTCACCTGTACCTGGTTCTCACCTGTACCTGGTTCTCACCTGTGCCTGGTTCTCACCTGTACCTGCTCCTCACCTGTACCTGGTTCTCACCTGTGCCTGGTTCTCACCTGTACCTGGTTCTCACCTGTACCTGGTTCTCACCTGTGCCTGTTCCTCACCTGGTAGCTGAGCTCCTTGAGGCGCCGCTCCGATTTCCTCATGCCCTTGACGCTCTCGGCGTTTCTCTTCTGCTCGGCCTCGAGCTCGTTCTCGAGCTCCCTCACCCGGCCCTGCAGCTTCTGCAGCTCCTTCTTGCCGCCCTTGAGCGCCAACTGCTCGGCCTCGTCCAGGCGGCCCTGCAGGTCGCGGATGGTTTGCTCCATGTTCTTCTTCATCCTCTCCAGGTGCGCGCTCGTGTCCTGCTCCTTCTTCAGCTCCTCGGCCATCATGGCCGCCTGGTTGTGGGGGGACAAGTCCGTGGCAGGTGGTGGGTGGTGGCCCCCAGTGGGGGTGGCCTGGGGGCGGCACTCACGTCGGTGACGGCTTTCTTGGCTTTCTCCTCGGCGTTGCGGCACTCCTGGACGGCCTCTTCCACCTCTGCCTGCAGCTGGGAGATGTCGCCCTCCATCTTCTTCTTCTGGTTGATGAGGCTGGTGTTCTGGGGGGGGGTGGGGAGGGG